ACAACACTGTTCTAAAGAGAAGAAAATGAACAAAATAGCTCCCTCTCTGGATGTGAAAGCAAAGTGCATTCATGCTATCCAGGCTATGCAAATTACTGTTATAATATTGCAAATGATATGATACAATCTCTTTGCTGTGCTGTCCCTCGCTTTATCAACATATTTGCTTCTGAATTTTTTAAAAAAGGGAATAACGTTATGTTTTACAGTTATTCTGGAATATGGTTCTATGAGACTGTTCCATTTATTTTCCATTCAGAAGCACAAGGAACAGGCTATTCATGATGACTGAAGGGCCACTTTTATATTCTGAAGAATCGTAAATGATTAAGAATCATAAAAAGAGAAGGTTTTACTTTTTTGGCTTATAAAAAAAAAAGAAATGCTTCAAAGTAGTGAAAAAAATAAACTAATGTAGCAGAAAGGTGATTCATGCTCAAGCCAATAGTTATAACCTTCCCACACATAGTGCACGAAGTAAGCAAAGGTAGAATTTTATCAATAATGTAAATTATTTCTTTTATAGCTTTGATACAGAGGGTGGAAATGGAAATGGAATTGTACAATGAATGTTATCTCTAGTTTACACATGTACAATTATTATTTTAGTTGAACATATGTTTGCTTAAGAAAATTAGAGATATGTTAATAACGCTGTTAATAGGCATAATGTTAGAAGTGTTCTGGTGCAGTTGCACTTGTAATTTAACTCTTGAACAGCAAATTTACCATCCAGAAAGACAACTAGGGCTCAGAAATTATCTGCCGTTAAATCCTAACCATTTGCCACCTCTGAGACTAATTTAACACCTGTTTACAGAATTCAAACTGCCTTGGGAGTCATGTATGGGGTTGTTTCGTGAGTATTGTTGCCAGGGTTTTGAAGAACTGACACAACACACAGAGAGATACAAGGAAAACACGCTTAGTTAATTTGTTGGAAAATATGGGGTTTCAACCAAGCCCGTCTCACAAGAGCATAAAGGGAGGGGCGGCTCCGCTGCAACCTAGCTTTGCTGCTTTGTGTGGGAGGGGCTTGGAGCCCACCTTTTTTCCTGTTTCCCTCATTTTGCTGCTTTGTGTGGGAGGGGCTTGGAGCCCACCTTTTTTCCTGTTTCCCTCATTTTGCTGCTTTGTGTGGGAGGGGCTTGGAGCCCACCTTTTTTCCTGTTTCCCTCATTTTGCTGCTTTGTGTGGGAGGGGCTTGGAGCCCACCTTTTTTCCTGTTTCCCTCATTTTCCTTCTCCTCTCCTCTCCTCATGGCTCTCCACGAGATAGGAATGAATCATCTCTCCTCCTCATGGCTTTTGTACTAACATTTAACAACCCCCAACATAATTAATCAAAGGAACAAATGTTTATTTGATCACATCAAAGTACATGCCATCCTGTTAGAGGAACTTTACAACCTGGAGGTTTTCAGATTTTCCCAGGAAAAGCAAAGCAAATATGCAACTGTTTCTGCATTCTATTTGCATGTAACTTTGACACTAAACAATGTCAAATGCTGCTCTGAAGCATGTATTGATAAACATTTACATCTGCTGGAAATAGTTTGAATTGTTGGCTGATAACTATTTAATGTTGCCATCTGCTTCACAATCCCTGATACATATTCCCCTCTGCTGGAAACTCAGAAGTATTGCAGTAGTAGCAATTAGAGTTGGAATCTGAGCACATCGCAAGAGTTCTTAAAGCAATTAATATTGAATGTTCAGATGTTGTATCGAATATTAAAAGATAAGTTGTTGGAAAATATCTACATCCATAGCACTAGTTGGTTGCTGATGTCCATTCACTTCCAACTCTTCGTTATCCGATGGACATCATTTCACCAGGATGGTCTGTCAGTAACTGCTTTTTGGAGTTTTTGTAAGCTGCTTTTTCTGCTGTTAGCTGATGATAGGTGCTTATTGATAGATGTACATTAAGTAATGGGTTGGATATCATTACATCATCATTCCCTTCTGCAGAGTAAGCAGAAAGTACATTATGATCTAAGACAAAACTGTTAGGCATCTCAGAAGCTGGTCAAGCTAACGGCCTGGGCAAGGGTGCAGACAGCTCACCTAGCCATTTCTAAGTAGTGTCTGACTTTCACCATTCCTCCCAATATAGAACTATCATGATCATATTCCAAAATGAGCTTCTGAAAAAGAAGTTTCAATGGGTAGAAGGCCTTGGCTAACTCAGACACTGGGTGCACATATCAGAGTGCCAGTTGTAGACAGCTATCTAGAGAAATAATAAGGAATCAGGTAAATTTAGCTTGGAAATGCTCTTTTTTGGGTTAGCAGGCACTGTTTCTTTTTTATCTTAATCTATTATGATGTCATACAATAGAAGTACAGACATCACCTCAATATGTCCCTTTATTATGGAAGGTATTCAATGATACTATATCATAATCATATTTGGAACCAAGTACTATGCTATGATATCAAAAGATGTCCAGTGTTATTAACTAGTTTCTTCTTTCTTCTCTAATACAGCAACAGCTACTGACTTTCAGCCATGTGTTCCTTCATGCAAAACTTGTGAAAAAGCTGCTGATAGATGTACTTCGTGTCACATGGGTATTTATTTATTCCATTAATATACCATTTAATCAACTGCAGATTCACAGTACTTTACAGTAACAATAAAGCATCAACAATTTAAAGCATCCATGGTAAAAAAAAAAAAATAGAATACAGGCATAAAGACAGACACAGGCAATTTAACAAATTAAAAAATTATAAATATTGCTACTATTAATAATGATGGCAACAACATATTAACCATAAAACTGCCCATCTTGAAAGAATTTGGTAATAGATGGGGCAAACTGTAGTTGTAATGATGGGTTCCTGGCCTCCATGCTCCTTACTTCATAGAAGTGGGGTACAACCAAGAGCTTCTCCTGGGATGACTGTACTAGATAAGAGAAAGTAATCTTACAGATACTTAGGCACCAAGCCATATACTGTTTTATAGGTCAAACCTATAGATAGAAACAATTTGCTTTTGTTTTTCAGTGTTATGCATTGCTATTCATAGGAATTTTGAATATATTCTACATTAAATATGAGCTTAACATGAGCAAGAAGCATAAAATAAAGAAACCACAGCAATCAGATGGGTTTTATTTCATGTTGTATATTTACTTCTATACAAACAACCCTCCCAATTTCTCTTTTCCTCTTTTATCACATTACGTCAGGGATTATGCCACTTTTCAGGCTAGCAGAGTCATTTGGAATTTTGAAAGCAGCTTCAACATTCTCACACAAAATGGTGATCATAAGAAGCTGGCTTAATTACAAAATGACAACCATATTTGCCATTGTAGCTTATCTCTGTGTTTTGTTCTGTGCAGATTCAAAATGAAGCACTGAACTGCAGCCAGCCACCATTTTCATTTTGTAATTATGTCTGTGGGCCTATATAGAGCCCAGAAGCACTGCTTTAAAATATAATTCTTTTTTTTTTTTAATTTTTACTTATGGAAGAAATGATATGTCATCCTTCCATCTTTATGCTCAGGATATTTCAGTTCAAACCAATATAGGCAACAGAAAACAATAATAGACCATTAATCCACTTAGTGATTGACTGATGATTGATTATGTGTCATCAAGTCTGTGTTGACTCTTAGTGATCATATAGATAGAATGTCTCCATAATGATTTGGTCCTTCTGGTCTTCCAACGGTTCAGCCAATGCTGCTATAATTGAGTCCATCCACCTTGCTCCTGGTGGCCCTCTTCTACTCTTTCCTTCCAACTTTCCCAGCATTACAGGCTTCTCTAGAGAGCTAGGTCTTCACATATTGTGTCTTCAGTAGGATAATTTGTGCCTTAAGTGAGAACTCTGGGTTGATTTGTCTGATGATCCATTTGTTTGTTTTCTTGGCTGTCCATGGTATTCTCAGGAGTCCCAAAATTCAAAAAAATCAATGCTCTTTCTATATGGTTTGTTCAAAGTCCAACTTTTGCTTCCGTAAAGTGTCACAGGGAATTCCATTGTCTGTTTTCCAAAGCCTTCATTACTAACCTACCAAGTGCTAATCTGCAGTGTATTTCTTGACTGCTGGTTACTTTACTCTCATGGTTGATCGTAAAAGATAGAAGTTATCCACCACTTCGATATCTTCATTGTCTCTTCTAAGGCTGTTAGTTATACCTGTTGTCATCAGTTTGGTCTTCTTTACACTTGGTAATGAGTCATTAAGCCATAAATGGAAGAAGAGCAGAAAATCATGGGGAGGGGGATCCCTATGCAGAACTATAAAAACAACAACATCCCTTTAAACATAAGTGGATGTGTAATAAATAGCATATCCCAGACTTTCTTAACCTGTTGCCCTCTATGGATGTTTAAACTGCAGTTCTCCAAAATGGGCACAAGGGAGTAGAGGTGAAAAAGTCTTATAATAGCTAGTCAATATTTGTGACAATAGCATCTGTTGGCTGTCTTTCAAATGCATAATTTATATCTATGCAATTCTGTTTCAGGGCAGTTTCTTTTTGCTGGGTCCTGTGGCCATGATTGCCCTCCCCAAACTTTTCGCAATACGAAGACAAAACAATGCGAGAACTGCACAGAGGACTGTGAGGAATGCACAGCAAATCAACACTGTCTGAAATGTCTGTCCAGTCCAAGCATGCCACGCTATTTGCACAGAGGCGAATGCTTGCAGGAGTGTCCCACGTATGTTCCCATTGATATGCATTCATGCAAACTCCTAGATTGTCTTCATACATCAGTGTGACATTTTCACTTCCACATTTTCTATATTGCAGTATTTGTAATCTTTTCATTGGAGAAGGCTACGAGGTCCCTTGGCTTCTTCAGAATGATTGCAGATGTACATATAAGATGCATTGAAGGCATTCATTTCTGTGGCTTTCTCTGGTGGATTTCCTGGATTTGTTTTTAAAGAGAGTGGACAGGTTCCCATTCCGACCTTCTGAGAGCATTAGCAGTCCTTTGAGAACAGTGAGGCAGTTCAAGATTTATTAAGACAAGAAGATGGGGAAATTAAGATGAAGTCAAGAGAAAATTGATTGAAGAAGGACATAGTTTTCAATGGTTTTCATATTGCTTAGCTAAAAGAACAGTTTAATGTGGATAAAAAGATAATTGGAATTGGAAAACACAAAATGTAATTTGAAATTGAATTACGTACAAACAATGAACATATAATAGCAAAAATGTATAAACTTTTGTGAAGATTTGAAACAGAAGAAGAACAGGTTAGAGAACAGTGATGCAGCTAGGGGTGGATGCCTTGGTCAGACATCAGGGCTTCCCTAATGAAGGTCCAGAGAGTGGCAGGACATTGACAAGCAGGATGAGCATCAATGCCTGCAGGACACAGGGCCCAACAGGATCTGATACTGCTTGCTGAAGCATTTTTCCTTTCTTCTTTTTACAAAGACTTTAGAACCAGATAAGCAGTTGGGCAGAGAGAGAAAGACTGATTGATTGGCACTCATTTTACTGTTTTATTTCTAAAATATTATGTGTTTGCAGTGCCTCAGATTCAGTTCCAAAAAAGTGCTTTGAAGTACATGAGAAAGGAGAATGGGGGGGGGGGGGATTT